AGCAGCAGCAGCAAACCATCCCTGTTGATGCTGGAGGAGCTCTGCTGCAGGGAGCAGACCAAAGCTGCTGCAGGAGGCTTTGCTGTGAGCGAGCAGTGGGGTTGTTGCAGGAGCAAAGGCAGCTCAGCACCTCTGATTCTGCAGAAGGCTCTCTCTGGAGAGGTGGATGTGCTCACACCTCATGCATGGAGATGGGGACCATGGTGCAGAAGTGATGATGCCCCAGCACCATCCCTTAGCAGTGGCAGGGACTCCCCCCCCCAAAGCTCTCCCACTCATCTTTTGGGTGCGTGGCCCCTCACTGTAGAAAAGTTGGGTCTGCCCCAGCAGCCCAAGGGTTAACGCTGCCTGTTTTCCCTGTCAAGCAGAGGCCAGTACGGTCCCGGGTGGCTCTGTACAATATGTCACCTCCTCTCCTGCCAAACGCTGCCTCTCGGAGCCTCTTTCCATACTGTGCACAGAGCTGGGAGCAGCTCAGCCCTTGGGGTGGGCACAGGGATGGACCTCCCTCAGCCACAGCATCGCGGGGCACAGGGAGGGAGGGAGTGCTGCAGTTGACTGTGCTTCCATTGCCGTTCACTGCTCCTTGAGTGCTGTACTGAACAGCAGAACCTGGGAATCCTGAGGGTTCCTGCAGGCTGTGATGTGTGGGCACCGCCATGGAGAAGCCCAGGTGGTCATGACGAGGAATACCAATTCCTGCCAGAAGGAAATTGGGAAATTCAGAAGTGAAGAACAAAGCCAAAGGCTCTCTTGTCCTCCCTCCCCCAACTCCCATCAGTTCTTGGCTGGCTGTAGGACAGCCAAAGCCCAGAAGTTCTTTGCAAAGGAAGCAGCAGCCAAACTCGTAGGGACCGTGGTTGCTCACATGGGCCCTGAGCAAGGGGAGGTCAGAGCCGAGGGGAAACATGGGGGTGGGTTACAGGAAGATGGCCCTGAGCTTCTCATGCTGCTGTCAGCCTCCTGCAAGACCTGGGGCTGTGGCTTCACCTGAGGGGAACCATCCCAACAGGAATGGTTTGTTGCTGCTGCTCTTTTCCAGGACTGCACAAGTGCAGTTGGTGAAGTGGGCTGCTGCCATCCGCATCACACCTGGTTTGCAGCCACTGCTTTGCAACCCTAACTCTTGGCAGTGGATGCTGAGAAGTGAAGGGTCGTTTGTAACCTCAGCTCAGCACCTGTGGGGGGAGGAAGGCTGGGAGGGCAGAGTTAAGGTGATGGGAGCTCTGAGCAAGGGGCTGTCCCTGGCTGACGTCCCCTACCCACATCCTGTGCACTGCCCCTGGAAGCGCAGCGGGGAGAGAGCAGGGAGCCACGGGAGTGGGAACCCATTGCAGGAACCCTGCAGAATAGTCCTGGCTTCCCTGTTGGGAGCAGCTCTGTTCCATCCTTGCCCACAGCCGGCAGGGTGCCCGCAGCAGCCCGGCATCAGCTGCAGAGAGAGGGGGGGCCCTGCTGGCGTCCTGGCAGGGACACGGAGCAGAGGAGGCAGCAAGGAGCGAATGCAAACAGCCCAGCGGGCTCTCGGGGGAGACGGGGCCAGGCTGTGAGTGTGGGGAGGAGGGGGTGTGGGGCTGAGGACCCTGCAGACATATGTGTGCTGCTCTCCCTCGCGCGAGGAGCGATGTGTGCGGGGTGATGGGTGTGCATTGCATCCCGTGCAGTACCCGGGTGCTGTGCGTTTTTCTCGGGGTGGATGCAATGATTGCCATGAGCTCATTAGGCGAATATTGTTTGCTAATCGGTGCCATAGCAATGGTGAGGCAGTTCTTCTCACCACCACCTGATCCCTCCGCCTCGGCCGCCACTCGCTCTGCAAACCCTGAGCCCATCTGCTGAGCCGTGCCGCGGGCTGGAGCTGGCCCAGGTGCCCATGCCCATCACCTGGGCTTCGTCGTGCTGGGAGGAAGCTGCCCCAGGGGCCAGAAGTGGGGCAGGGAGCCAGCACCGAGGGATGAGGGGGGATGCTGCAGGCAGGAGGGCACACGCAGGAATGGAGTGTGGGGTGGGAGATGTGCGGCTGTCAGAGCTGGGAGAGAACAGTTAACGGAGTGGATTTTTTCAAGGCAGAGTTTAATGGAAGAAATTGAAATCGGAGAATGGGCGAGAGGTTCAGATGAAGCCTAACCCACAAAAGAGATCGTTGTCCCGTGGTGAGCAGTGTGTCAAAGCAGCACTTGCACGCTCCGGGTGCCTTTTCCTTTCACTTTCTCTCTCCTCCCCAAACTTTACTCCTGGTTAATTTTACAACAGCTCACAGGGAGCACCTATGGGACAGTGATGCTATTGGAGCTGCGTGGGATTGGATCTCCAGCCCCACTCCTGGGTGATGCACGCACAGCACAGCCCGCCTCACCCCGCAGCAGGCAGGGCTGAGCCTCGGCCCCGCCGCTCCCGTCCCACCCAGCGCTACGCCTGCCCATCTCTCCCCTTCCACGCTCACTCCCATCTCTCCATTTCTCCTTTATGAAATATGCATGGAGAACAGATGTCGCCTTCTCCCGGAGCACCCCCACCCTCCCTCCTCCCTCCTCCCAGCCCACCACCTCCATCCACCCTCCAGGACCACATCCAACCTCCACCTCCCTCCTCTCCCGGGGGCTCCAACCTCCCCCACAGCCAATGGCATCCCCTCTCTTGGCTTTAATATTTATGAGGGGGGGAGCGGCGAAGCGGCCAATGAGGCAGCTGGGGTCGGACCCGGTGTGCGAGGCCGGGGTGCATATATAGCGCGTGGGGCACATGCCTCCTTGGTGTCCATCTCCCCGCACGGTCCTTGAGCTCCTGCCCCATTCGTGGCATGCTCGGGCCCCAGGGATCCCGGGGCTCATCCCACCGAGCAGGTCGCCAACTTTCTGCCTCCTCCATGGACGGATGAGCGAGCGGTTCCTGGATTACTTTGGGCTTTAGGAAGAGGAAAGCTGGAGCCTGGGAATGGTCATCAAGTCAGGGGTAAGGAGGCTTTGCTGGGGTGGGACGGTGATGCGATGCTGTGGGGTTGGGTGCTGAGAGAGGGGCAGGAGGGGGATTTCTGAGCAGAACGAAGGAAAGGAGCATCCGCTCAAACGGCCTCAGAGTGGGTCTGGTGGGGAGCGCTCAGAAATGGTCACACTGCTGCAATGGAGCACAAGGAAAAGGGTGAGGTTGGGAAGCGTTGCTTCTCTTGGGGCATCACCAGAGCTCTGCTGGAGGTAGGACTGGGACAAGCGTGGGTTCAAGGGGAGTCCTTGTCACAGATGGACTTAGGAATGTGGCAGCTTATGGCTGATCCAGAGCAGAGAAAAGCTCAGAGTACGAGGTACCCGTGCAGAGGAAGAGCTCATTGAGGGGGGACCAACCCTGCAAAGAAGGAGCAAGGCTGAGCAGGACTGGGGTGCAGCACTGGAACTTGCCTTCATGCAAGTAGTGCAGTGTCCACTGCCAACATCCTCCTGAAAGCAGGGAGAGAGGCCCCGTGCAGAACTCGTCTCTGACACTACAACTTACATGTGAGGATGCAGAGGCAGCACCACACTGCATCCCACAGCCCTCTGCACACCATGGCACAGGACTGCCACTTGACAAGGGTGGCAGCATCCAAGGAAGCAGCCCAGCCATTTGCCTCCTCCCACCCTGCACTCTTGGGTCCAGGCAGTGGATGGGAGCGATGCTCCAAGGCAGAGCCACCAGCAGAAGGGATGGGGTGGGAGGATGGAGGTCTTGGCTTTCCAAGAATGGGATGAGAGGAATATGGGGCTGGAGAAGGTGAAAGGAGTGCAGGAGGCACTGCTGTCCCTATGGTGCAGCAGGTAGGGCTGCTTCAGGAACTTCAGGTGCGCAGCTCCGTGCTTCTCCCATTGCCTGGAACAGGCTGGTCTGTATCTGTGCTGAGAGTAAGCAGAGCACATCAAACGCAGAGCTCAGCTCAGGCTTCCCCCAAGGATACAGTTCATTATCATGGGGTTTATTGGACTCTCAGAGCCCTAACGTTACCTCCCAAGAGCTGCCTTTCTATCAGCACGTACCTAAAGCAGCTCCTTCCCTCTTCTCCAGGCCAAGGACTTTGCAGGAACAACTTTTTGTTCAGCATTTGGTGCTTTACTTCTACTGCCACACTGGTTTGTGTTCTAGGAAAAAGTCCAGGTAATTTATTTTAGTGAAATCTGAGTATCCCAGTGCAAGGGTGGGTGTGTGCAGGAGTGAGCAGAGACCTGGTGGGCTGAGATACGGACACGGGTGGGAATTAATGGCCATAATTGCATGTGAGATTGGTGGGGACTGTATGTATATGCTTCTGCAAGAGCACATCAAGCACTCTGTCCATCACCCGTCCTTCAGAACAGGACGTGGGCTATTTCTCCCCAGCCATCACCTGTCTGTATTCGTTTGGTTTCCATTTCTCAGTCATATGGCTCATTACAAGCTTGTCAGGCCAGAGAGATGTAATATGTTGTACATCTCCACCTGGCTCTCTTCCCAGCCCGGCTGCCGTCTCTTTGCTCAGCAGCATTTCCCCTTCCAAAGTTCATTCCCCATCCCCTGCCTGGGATCACTGCCCCCATAGCCATCCCCAGGCTGTGGGCACCTGTACAGGTCCCTGCCTGCAGCACCAAGAGCCCGGGGCCAGGAGCCCTCAGGGAGCACGCAGCCAGCTCCTATTTGGACATATCAAGCAAAGCAGCTGTGTTGGGTTCCATATGTCTGGGGTGCCAGGATCCATGACATACGGGCTCATTTAGTATACAATTGAGCCCCCCTTCCCCTCGCCCCCGCAGTCTGTTTTTCCCCTTCACTCATCCACCACCTGTCATCCCTCCGGAGAGCCGGGAGGAGCAGCTTCCACCTTCTCCCAGAGCCACTCTGAGCTCTGTCTCAACCACTGGAGCCTATCCCCTTTCCCCTTTCCCCTTTCCCCTTTCCCCTTTCCCCTTTCCCCTATTTTTCCTATCCCCTTCCCTGTCCCTGTACCAGCCCTATCCCCATTCCCCAGCCACCACCGTGGAGCAGGGGTGGCACAACAGTTTCCATGCTTCCCCGCTCCCCACCCTGAGCCCCTCTCTCTGTTTTGCAGCTCAGCTCTGACACCTGACAGCCCCCGGCCCGGTTCAGCCGCTCGAGAGCTGCTGATGTTTGTATTTTTGTTGTATTTTTATGCACCCTGCCCTTCTCTCAGTTTATTGCCATCGCCCCTCCAGCGAGAAAAAGGAAAACACTCTGAAGTCGCGCAGAGACGCTGTGTGATGAGGAGGAGGAGGAGGAGAGCCAGCGGGGCTGTGCTGTGAGCCGGAGGTCCTGTCCCAGTGGATCCACTTCGCCTGGCTCCATCCTCAGCTCAGCATCTGTCCGTCTGTCCATCCAACCACCCACCCATCCGCACCCACCATGCTCAACTCGGAGCAGACGGAGCTCGACCTCCCCCCCGCGCACTCCGAGCCCGAATCCGTCTTCAGCGACTGCGGCCGCATGGGCAGCGCGGAGGAATCTGGCGTCGCGTTGTGCCCGCAGCCCCGCGGGGCCGAGCAGGGGGAGGCGGTGAAGAAGGACCTGCAGCACCTGAGCCGGGAGGAACGGCGACGGCGGCGACGAGCCACGGCCAAATACCGCACGGCCCACGCCACGAGGGAGCGCATCCGCGTGGAAGCCTTCAACATGGCCTTCGCCGAGCTGCGCAAGCTGCTGCCCACGCTGCCGCCCGACAAGAAGCTCTCCAAGATCGAGATCCTCCGCCTGGCCATCTGCTACATCTCCTACCTGAACCACGTGCTGGATGTCTGAGCTTCCCAACCTGTGTCTGTTTGTCTGTCCGGCCACCCGTCCGTTTCCAACCCAAACATGCTGGGCCGAGGGCTTGAGTACGTCTGTCCAGATGTGACCCAACCATGCTGCTCCTGTATCTGTCTGACTGCTCGGATGGACCGAATCCCACCTGCCCTCTCTGCCTCTATCCAAACTGCATCTCCCCACCACCAAGCCCACATCCATCTGTCTGTCCGTCCTGCCTGAGCCAAGCAGGCTGTTCCGCCCATCAGACGTCTGTCTGTCCTGCTGGACCTGCTGCCTGAAGCCCGTCTGTTCCCAACGTCTGTCCGTCCTTCTGCTGCATGTCCCGCCGATAGCGCCAGCAGGATCCTGAGCCCACATCCGTCCATCTGTCCCCACAGCCATCACCTGGTCCACCTTCACCCATGTCTCCTCTTTTCTACGAGCCACAAACTGCACCATGAGGCACCAAGCAGCCCATAGTCCCATCCGTCTGCCCCTCCAGCCACAGGGCACCACCTGGGGACCACCCCCCCTCCCCAGCGCTCTGCCCTGTGCACAGAGAAGCCCCTCCAGCTCCATCTTGGTGGGGCACAGAGTGCTCAAGTGTGCTGCAGATGTAGGGCAGGATCCGGCCACACTGCACCATGAACAGCTGCACAGTGCCTGAGGCTGCACTGGCCTATGCCTGGCTGGAGCTGCTGTCACCTGGGGCCCGGCTGAGCCCTTCTGCTGCACACCCAACCTCCCCAATGCCTCCCACTGTGGGAGCACCTCATCCCAGAGCTGTGCATCCCTTCCTGCACCGCCCTCAGCTCTGCGCAGAGTGAGCGTGGAACCCCTGGCCCTTTACACACTCCTTTTTGCACCAACATCCCCGAGAACCCCGAAGCAATCTTCACACCCTGCCTCTTCCTCTGCCTCCCCCGTTATTTTCTAAGAGTTAATTTTGCACTGGCGGTGGCAGGAGCACAAGCAGAGCTCCCCAGGGTCCAGGACAGAGCAGAAAGTGCCCGCTGTGCCCAAAGGCAGTGCGCTGCTCACTGCAGGGTGGGACATGGCCCAGCTCCATCCCTGTCCTTGCACTGCCCACAGCTCCAGCCCCCATCACCCTGCATCCCCAGCGCTGCCTCCATCCCATGGGACGTGCTTGGGGATGTGGCATCCCCAAGGGACACGCACAGAGCAGGGCAGCCCACCCATCCCCTCCACTCAGCCCACACCCCTGCGCCACGAGGATATTTATTGAATTAATTTATTGATAAATGTTATTATTTATTTGCTGTGTTGTGCACTTTTCGGAAAGGAAACTTAGGAAGCAAAGAAACAAACAGAAACGACCACGATGGAAAGCAGCCCAACCACCCCCGTGTGCCCCAGCGTGCGTTCATCTCGGCTGTTCGGACTGCGTGAGGATTTATTATTTATGAGTTCACAAGGAAGTCGGGGAGGGGGAAATGAATTAAACTGCCAGCAAAAAGAGATCCTGAACTCGGAGTGCCCGCTTCTCTTCTTCTTTCCTGTTAACCTTGTTTGTGACCACCTCCTCCCAGCAGCCGTGGGGTTCTGGAGGCGGTGGTGGCAATGTGACGAGCATCCCCCCAGTGCCAGAAGAGAGATGGGGACATCTGCTCCAGGCACCAGCACCCCCAGTCGAGCCACCTTCGCTCTCCCTGAGCGATCAGCACAACCTCAGCTCCACAGCCAACATCATTTCTCTGCGCCCCTCTGTTCCCATCCCCTGCCCCGTCCCCATGAGCCCCCGGTGCCCTCCTGCTCCCTCAGCCCGCCCCGTGTGATGTGGGGAAGCAAGTTTGCGGCTCCTTTGTCTGCGCTGCTCCCGAGCATCCCCCGGGGGGCAGGCTGCAGCTGTTCGTCGACTTGCTCCAAATTTCTTCATATAATCAATTGGCCTCGGCAGCCGCTCGGCTCAGCGGAGATGCGTCAAAGGGGAAATAATAAAGATGGGGAGGGAGCAGGGGAAGGAGGCAGGGAAAGGGGGGCAGCCGGGGGCGATGGCAGCTGATGGATACTGGAGGTGCCCCCAGCACTCCCAGCCTGCCCCACTCACCGGACGCATCCCCATCCCCATCCCTCCCCACCCGCATGGAGCTGGGGATGAAGTTAGGGGAGCTCAAGCCCCTGCATGGCTCCCAGACCTCCGCTGTCCCCAGCTGCCAGCCCAGGCCCTGACATATGGTCCTCATTGTGCCAAGCACAATGGCAGCACTTCATGCTCATTCACTCTCACCCGGCCTCACTGTCGCCTCAGACAGATTGGGTCCCTCATCCGCTCTTTGTGCTCGGGGTCTCCGCTCCCTGGGTGCTCCCCTGCTCTGTCTCTGCTCCCACTGCTGCTTCCTGCTCTCTCCAAGCACATATCCATCTCTCCATGCTCTCCAGGTGATACTGAGTGCACAGGTAGATGCTTGCACAGGGAAGCCTTCACCCAACGTTTGAAAAGGAACCATGCAAAATAGCCCCAAACGTGCCAAAAAGGGGACTTGCATGAAACCACCTCTCTGCTGCTCCCTGTCCCCCAAGAGGAGAGGTGCAGGTTCCCGCTTTGGGAAGGGGGAAGCACTCCCTTTGTCACAGCCTGCCAGGGCCTGGCGTGCCCCCAGCGGGTGGCCTTGACCCCAGGGATGTCACCACAGGCAGCAGCTGCATCCCCATCTCTTCTACGTGAGGCGGCAGTGCCATCTGCTGGGTCCCCATGACAGGGTCCTATAGGCTGAGGCCGGCTGCTGGCACCCCAGGCTGGGTGGTGAGAAGGGGGGCGGTCCATCCTGCACTCAGGTGGGATGTTCCCAAAGCCACCCCAGCGCTCGCAGCAGCCGGCAGTGCTCTCGGGGTCCACAGAGGGGCAATGCTGGACCTAAAGGGATGATGCTGGGATGAACAGAGAGCAGAACCTCCTTCTTTCAGAGCAGGGAAAGCCATAAAGCCATCCGGGACCTCGCGCCAGTGCAGTGATAACATTGGCAGAGATAAGAGGTGATGACATCAGCAGAGGTGAGCGATGATGATGATGATGATATCAGTGCAGCTCAGGGATTTGGGGGAGGGGGCGTGCAGCTGCTCAGCACCGGGTGTCCCCAGGTTTAGTTGCAGCTGTGGGGCTGTGGTCAGGAGGGTGATCTGCACTGTGCTGCCCCAGGGGCTGGCAGACAAACATCAGTACGGTGGGTTGGGGGGAAGGTGGTGTGGATGCTTCTGATCCAGCCTGCAGCAGGGATGCTGCTTTCCAGGACTCCCAGACTCCTGAGCTGTTTGCTCGGGGTCCTCTCCTTGTCCCCATGGAGCAGTAAATGCAGCTGTGACACAGGTAGGGTCCTGGGGCCAAACCTGCCGGGGTGCAGCCTTTGGGGTGGTGGCAAAGAGAAGGCTTTCAGGGTGCCCTCCTGTAGCACCACGTGGGGAATAAAGGTTCTTTGCAGGAGATTTCCAGGATGAGACGTCACAGAGCTGGTGCTGGGGATGCTGCTGTCCCCGAGGGCTGCGTGCTGCGCTGCTGAGCCCCGGTGCCATAACCTGCCTGACGTGGGATGTGAGAGAGGGGGGGACGGTCCCTGTAAATCACCAGGTGGAACAATGCGGCCCTTCCCAGATGGCAACGAGGCTCCCGCACCCCCAGCTGGCCAGGAATGAGCTCGCAGGGCCCATTAATCACTCCTGGAGCCGAAGGACAGCCGGGGGCAGCTGGCTGCAGGGGGAAGGGAGGGGAGAGCAGTGGGGCACACAGCCCATAGCAAGCCCTAAAGCCCCAATCCAGCCACCGAGCCACGTATAAGGGTGACGGTAACCCCCCCACCCCCCCGGCTCTGAGCCAGGAGACCCGAACGGGCTGGGATCCACCTCCAGGGCTGCTGCTGGGTGCAGCATCGCCGTTGTACGGTAGAGACAGGACGATCCCGAGCAACCCCGGAGGACGGGCGCTGTGCCACCCGAAGGTAGGAAAAGGCAGGGTGGGTTTCTCCTGGATGAGAGATGGAAGGAGGGACAAACTGTGCGGCTGAAGGGTCCCCCAGCCCCCGGCTGCCCCTTCCATCCTTCCCCCCACTCCCAGCCATGTGCTCTGGATGCTGCGGGGAAAAAACGCTGCCGGGCACCACCTGCCCAACGCCTCTGGCATAGAAGGGGAAGAGGGGGGGGTGTGACCCCGAGGGCCCCCAGCCTATAGCCAGTACCGCACAACATCCGAGAAAGGAAAAAGAAAAAGAAAAAAAAAAGCCCCAAACTCATCTCCTAACGCCTCTTCCCTCCCCTTTAAGGCCAAACAAGCCATTTAAATCTCGCCAATGGTGTGCACCGGGAGGGCAGCGCGGCTCTCCATTGGGCGGCATGGGGGGGCGGCCCGGCCCCCTCCCATCCCAGTCCCATTGATATAAAGGGCCGCGCTCCCAGGGCGGCTGTTCCAGGCAGCGGGCGCGCCCCCCGCTGCCGCATCCTCGCTGTAAGCATTTTGGGGTGGGGGTCCCCCACTTTGCATCACCCCCCAGTTTAGGCTTAGAGCCTGGCAATTGTCCTCCAGTGGGACGTGAGTTTGCAGGAGGCTCTGCAAGAGTGCACCCAGCCCATTTTTTTGGGGGGGTACGCTTTCAGCTAATAGAGGATTTGGGGGTGCTGTCCCCCGTACCCCCGATGCACCAATAGATGGGGGGGAGCAGCGCTTGCTGCCTTCATACCTCGTTTCTTGGGCTTGGGGGGCGGAGCTGCTGCTGAGTGCTCGTTCCGAGTGCTTGTTCCCGGTTGCCCCCCTGGGGACCCCAAATCCTGGCATAGGGGCACTGCGGGGCTCAGCCTGCTCGTTGGTTGCCTGCATTCCTTCTCCCACGGGGTGGGGTTTGCCTGTACGTGCTCCCCCTGCAGCCCCATCCGTTCCCTGCAGAGTTCAGCTGAGTAACCTCCTCGTTCCTGGGGCTTCCAGGCGCTCCCACAGCTCGGAGCTGGGCCCTGCACCATCACCTTCGGCTGGGATGCTCTGGTTATGACGGGCATGGGCTGAGCCGGGCAGCCCTGGTCACCATGCTGCATGCAGCTTTCATAGGGGCGGACTTATGGGGGGGGGGCACGCAAAGCCATTTGTTCGCACTCCATCCCCAAAAGCACCCAGAGCTGAGCAGAAAAAAAAGCTGGGAGTTGGGGGGCACAGCCCAAGACCCCTCCAGGTCGCCTCCCAACGGACAAATCTCGTCCCTGAGCAGACGAACTCTGCTCATCCACGGGCTCTGCTGGGGCGCATGGGAGCCCCCGGGGGTGGGGAGCGGCGCCGTGGCCTCCCCGTGCTCACACCCATCGCGAGCAGCCCCCCCCGGGGGGGTGGGGCGGGTCCCCCCCCCAGCCGCGCCGTCCCTTCGGAGCCGGGGTTGGGAGCCCCGGGGCCGCATCAGACAATGACCCCCCCGCCGCGCTGAGCCCCGGAGGGGCGCCGGGAGCGCCGCGCGGAGACAATGGGCGGTGCGCACTATGGGGGGGGGGAGCGGCCGGGAACAGCGTCGGCGCGGGCGGGGGCTGCGGGGCGGTGCGGGGCCGCCGGCGGGGCGGGAGCTGCCGGGCCGGGGCGCGGTGGGGCCGGAGAGTGCGGAGCTGCGGGACCGCTCCGCCGGGATCTGGGGCTTCCTCCGCCTTCCTCCTCCTCCTCCTCCTCCTCCTTCTTCCTTCTCCGCCTCCTCCGCCGCAGCCTCGGGATCCCGCGGCGCTCGGTGCGGGGGGGACGCGGCACAAAGGTGCGGGGCGCGGTGAGTGCGGAGCGTGGGGCGGGGGCCGGGTGGGGGCGGCGGGGGTCGGGGCTCAGCGGTGCGCTGGAGGGGTTGGTTGGGGATACGGAGACTTCCGTGGGCCGCGGCCCGGCGGGGGGAGGCGCTGCGGGGCGGGGAGCAGCGCGGGGGATGTTCGGGCCCAGCCGGACTGGCGCTGGGTTTTGCAGTGCAGTGATTGCGGATCTCAGCCCTCCGTGCCGGAGCTCTTTGTGTTTTCCCGGAGCAAAGCGGGGCACGGGGGTGGGCACGGGGCTGGGGCCGGGATACGGAGGGGAGCGGTGAGGTGGGGGCTGCCCGGTACCGCTCACCTGCTGGGACAGCCCCGTTCGGGCCGGGCTCGGTCTGTCCCGATGCGTTGAGCTCCGTGTCCCGTGTGGAGCTGCGATCTCCGGGAGCAGGAGCTGAACCC